AGGGAATCATAGTCTCTTGAGCCAGACTCAGGGCCCCACTGACCCGTGCAGCCTTGCGACACTGCTTCCTGCATCCTCGTTGCTCCAGTTTGAGCATTGACACGAAGGGCCAGATGCTGTTTGTGCCACCACTACAGAGTGCTCAAGCTGCCATAAACCTTTGTATCTTCCCTATGGTATTAAGCCTGCAGGTGCACAGTTGTGCAAGAGTGAATAAGGTTTGGGATCCTCTGCCTAGATTTCAGAGGATGTGTGGAAAAGCCTGAATTCCCAGGCAGAAGTCTGCTACTGGGGTGGAGCCCCCACAGAGAACCTCTACTAGGACAGTGCCAAGTAGAAATGTGAGGTTGGAGCCCTTACAGGGGACTGCCTACTGGAGCTGTGGGAAAGGGGCACCATCCAGCAGACCACAGAATGGTAGATCCTCTTGCAGCTTGCACAGGGCCCGTGAAAAAGCTGCAGGTGCTCAATTACTCCTGAAAGCAGCTGTAGAGGCTGTACCCAGCAAAGCCACCAGGGTGGAGCTGTCCATGGCATTGGGAGCTTAGCCCTTGCACTGGTATGCCCTGGATGTGGGACATGGAGTCAAGGGAGATTATTTTGGAGCCTTACAATTTAATGGCTGTTCTACTGGGTTTCAGACTTGCATGGGGCCTATATCTCCTTTCTTTTGTCCAATTTATTCCTTTTGTAACTAAGACTGTTTACCCACTGCCTGTACCCCCATTGTATCTTGGAAGCAAATAATTCGTTTTGCCTTTACAGGCTCGTAGGTGGAAGGAACTCATTTCCAGATAAGACTTTGGATTTGGGACTTGGGACTTTTGAGTTAATGCTGTAATGTGTTCCGACTTTGCAAGGACTATTAGGAGATTATTGTATTTTGAAATGTGAGAATAACCTGAGATTTGGGAGAGTCTAGGAGCAGAATAATGTAGTTTGGATATTTGTCTCTGCCCAAATCTCTTGATGAAGTATAATCCCCATTGTTGGAGATGAGCCCTGGTGGGAGGTGTCTGGATCATGGGGCCATCCCTCATGAATGGTTTTGGCTATTCCCTTGGTGATAACTCCTCTTTCCTACCCTCTCTCTTGCTCCTGCTTTCACCACATGAAGCACCTGCTCTTGCTTCACCTTCTGCCATGAGTAAAACTTTTGAGGCCTCCCTAGAAGCAGATGCTGGTCCAGTGCTTCCTGTATGGCTGGCAGTACCATGAACCAATTAAATGTCTTTTTGTATAAATTACCCGGTCTCGGGCATTTATTTATAACAGTGCAAGAATGGCCTAATACAAGGACCTTATTAAACCAAAGAGCTTCTGCACAGCAAAAGAAAATATCAACAGAGTAAATAGACAGCTGGCAGAAAGGGAGAAAATATCTGCACACTATGCATCCAAATAAGGTCTAATATCCAGAATCTGTAAGGAACTTAAACAAAATTAATAAGCAGAAAACAACCCCATTAAAAATTTGGCAAAGGACATGAACAGACACTTCTCAAAAGAAGACTTACATATACAGCCAGCAAGAATATGAAAAACAAATGCTCAACATTACTAATTATTAGAGAAATGCAAACCAAAACCACACCTGTCAGAATGCATATTTTTATAAAGTAAAAATCTACTGATGCTGGTGAGGTTGTGGAGAAAAGGGAATGCCCATATACTACTGGTGGTAACGTAATTAGTTCAGCCACGATTGAAAGTTTGGAGATTTATCAAAGAACTTAGATCTACCATTTGACCCAGCAATCCCATTACTGGGTATATTCCCAAAGAAATATAAATTGTTCTACAAAGACATGAGGCACACATATGTTCATTTCAGCACTATTCACAATAACAAAGACATGGAATCAATGTAAATGCCTATCAGCAGTGGACTGAACAAGGAAACGTAGTTCATATAAACCATGGAATGCTATGTAACCATAAAAAACAATGAAATTCTGTCCTTTGCAGCAACATGGATGGAGCTGGAGGCCATTATCCTAAGCAAATTAACACAGGAACAGAAAACCAAATACTGCAAATTCTCACTTATATATAGGAACTAAGCATTGAGTACACATGGACACAAAGAAGGAAATACTAGATACTGGAGCCTACCTCCTAGTGGGTGGAGGATGGGAGGAGAGTGAGGATCAAAAAACGACTTATCAAGCACTACACTCATTACTTGGACATGAAATTATCTGTACATCTAATCCCTGTAACACATAGTTACCTGTCTAACAAACCTGCACATATACCTCCTTGAACCTAAAATAAAAGTCGGAAACCAAACAAACAATTCTTTGTGGTTTCCTTATACCCTACCCACACTTTTATAAATAATTGCTGTACTTAACTCTCTTAAATGATATTAATTTGAGTGTTCCTTCCCTTTCAGCTGGAAATCTAATACCTGAAGTCTTTCTTCTCTTCTTAGCCATAAACTTTTAGTCCATTCTTTCTCCATATTAAATGTTTAGTCCTCAAATACTATCTTTCTCTCTCTGCTTTGTGCTACCTGAAATTTAACAATTCTACTTTATATTTTTTAACAAAGTTATTAATATAATTGTAAACAGTTTAGGGGCAAGAATAATACCGATAGAAAGTTACTATAACACACCCTCCCTCCCTCCTGATTGAGTGGATTTATTTATAACATACATTAGTATAATTCAACCAGTTACTAATTTACTGAGAGAGTTTTTGATCTTTATGGCTGCATTGTGGCCATTCTTTAATTTCCATGCCCTCTGATTCCTCCGAAGGCCATAATCATAGGAATTACAAGATTTCAGTGGTTACACATATTTAGCCTCTCTTTATCCCTCAATCTTCAGCTTCTGCCAGGTAGCAGACAGAAATTCAGATATACTTGCCAACTGGCAGTCCAATGGCAGATTTCAGCTTATTTGATCTTGGCCTCCCTTTGAAGCATCGTGTAGGAAGCCCCTGTGATGATGCTCTCATGATACTTGCTGTTTTACACCTGATCACACCTGTTGACATTAAGGAGCAACAAAATACTAACAACAGACTTTTCTTAATTTTCCTCTGTAGCCAGACTGCATCACACTGAGCACCGTGAGCTAGAGAATTAAGATCAATCTGAGGTATCTGGTGAAGCTAGTCCATTTGACATGACACCATAATATATTTTATTTAAACTACATAATATCTTATGTTTGTAAAGGTCTCTGTATTCTGATTATGGATAAGCATAAGCAAAGACAGATTTTTCAAAATTCTCTGTAAGTAATTGGCTCATAATTGCTTTTATGGAATTGCTCATCAGTAATCTGTCATTAAATCTTCTTCAGAGTCTTATATAAATGATCAAAAATAAACACATAAATTATTTTGTGTTTATGAGGATACTGCTCTTATTTATACAAGTATTTTCAGTCCCTAAATATATTTTCATGAATCAAAGTCAACTTTAGAGTATTATCTCTTTATGAGATAGACATTGACAGTAGGTAGGAGAAAAAAATATGTAGAAAGATTTCAAATTTCAATTTGGGTCTTAACTTCTTGGATTCTATAGAGAAGAACTAGGAAACCTGCAAACTCATTTCATTGTTGTGTTTCCTTTAAGGATTGGGAGGATATTGATTAATTAATGAAGAAACAGGTCAATAGGGGACCACAAGTTAAAAGGGCTAAATCATTATTACTAACTAGTGATTCTTCTACCCTTACTTACTAATGTGAATATGTGACCATTTCAAAAATGAAAAGTGGATAATGTAATATCTTTTTTCTTGTTTTTCCTTAAATAATAACAATGCTAATAGTAATAGTAAATATTTAATACACACTTACTGTGGTTGGCCCAAATCTGGAAATATAATCAAATATGCTCTAAAACGGTTATTAGGTTATTAGTGTTACATTACAATATATGATTTGTTCAGAAGCCTTACCTGATACTTTCAGTGCCTTGCCTCTCATCAGGCTGGAAAGGATCATCCTCAGATAAGCTTCACAGAACTTGCATCTTATATGGTTGAAAGGCATGTGTTTTGGGAATCACTGGGACAGTTCTGCAAGGCACCTCCAATTCCTTGGGTGTTTGACAAAATGATCTCTTTCGTTGGTTATGACCGTGTCTGTGACTATTTCCTCTACCTTGTTGGAAATAGATAATTGTTCACAGAAGAGTTTGTCTAACACACTATATTCTTGAATTTTTAAACTATTTTTCTAATTGTACTATGGGAAATGTAGCTCTTCCAAGGTGATATGCAAAGAAGGGCTCTGCAGTCGTTACAATCAGCCCTTTCATTTACTTATCAGCATCAGCTCAATGTCTTCATCTTTCATCAACCCGTCAAACATATAAGATGACGATATCTATGTTTCCAGATTTTACAGAACCTCCCGTATATGCTGGGAAATCTTCTGAGGGAATCTTCTAAGAATTTTTCATTTAATCCTTTTAACAAATCTGAGTTGGCTTTTATAATTATTTCCATTTCACAGAGGAAAATGTAAAGGCCATTAACAAGGACATTAACTAACTTGCTCAAGATCACATAGCTGGTAAATGTCTAATCATGGGTCTTGAGTTTTAGGAAGGAGAATAAAAGGAGAAAAATGAGTGAAGTAATATTGTATTAGGTAGTAGAACACAAATATTTTGCTGTATGTTTATACAATCTGACTGAATGTTAATGTCACCTGCTTTCTTGCTTGGATATTAGGTGTCAAACTTTTAAGACATGTCAAAATGGTTTTCAGAGAGTTTTTCTGATATCCATACTTTTCCATGCAAGTACTGTGTGGCCATGGACAAATTTTTAGCATCTTCATGCCTTCAAAAAATAGAGATGGTTATTCTAGTCCTCTATCAGGTAAGTTGCTGTTTGAGAATTTGAATGTAAACTCTTTTTTTTTATTTCCTTGGAAGAAAGTCACACTATAAAAGCAAATTTGGGCTATTATAATGACAAGTGTGTGAGTGTACATTAATTTCTCCCTTATGTTCTTATTGCCAGCAGATGGAGGTCGAAATTGAATTGCTGCTGACTGTTGTCCCTTGTTATGGCCTGTGGAGATATGACAATTGAGGAAGAACTTAGAGGAATGCCAAGTAACAGAGCATAAAGCTGTGGGTGTGGCCCACTGCCTTGGACATTTTATGGCTGATAGCACTTGGCAAGGAAAAAATGCAGCCTTGACAGTAGCTTTGCAGATAGATTTCAATATCAGCCATGCCTCCACAATCACCTCTATTTGATATGTCCTTTAATATATGCTTTGTCAAAATCCACTCTTCTAATACTCACCTACTTCACTGGTACCTAAATAACTAAATAAATAACACTGGAAGAATTTCTTTGTTTCATTACACATTTGGGCACAGATAGTACAGGCAAGGCACATTAAACTCCTTGTCTATCTACTTTCAATTCCTTTTGGGCTTGTCTTTTTTTTTTGGTCTGTTTATTTGTCTAACCAGAGATTCTTTTCACCTAGGGAATCCTTGGATGCTTTTCCAGGGGTGCCTGATCCATGTGAACTGAAAACTCTGTATCAGTGCATGCAACAAAGTTCATGTTTTCCCTTTAGAGCGAAAGTCTGTAGCTTTCACAAGATTCTCAAAGGAGCTTGGGACTTCAAAAAGTTTATGAATTCCTGCTTTGGATCTTTGGTTTATGGAGCAATGAAACTTTGTATGTTTGCTTTAACGATTGAGGCACAGCATTTTATGTGAATTAGAACAAGGGAGTGGTGGAGAAAAACAGCTTGGAGGGCATTATTACCTTTCCCAATCTTCACTTCTTGTCATGAATTATTAATCATGAGGTAACACTTTATCTGATGCTTTGAAAACTCTCCCCCTGGTAAGAACAGCCTAATTGAATTGGATGAAGTGGAGCAGGAAGAACTAAACATGGACGTTGATGGTTTCACCAAAAGCAATTATACACCCTACAGCCTCCTCCACCTGTTTGAAAACCCAAGGCCCACTAATTCTCATACCACAAGGGAATGAATGGAAAAGTAGAAGAAAAATTAAAATTGTTAAGCTTCAAACATATCTTCCTTGAGAGTACTCCACTTGGCAAAAGAGTGTATGTGGGGCTGAGAGAGAGAGTAAGGGATGTGGTAAAGGGTCTGATATACTGGAGATCAGAGTAGAAGCCAGTCCAGCTTCTCTGGAGGGCAACTTGGCAACATAACAAAAACTCTAATGCAGGCATAATTCTGCTCAGTAATATCAGTTTTAGGAGGCTCAGTTCAGTAACGTACATGGATCTAAGAATTTTAAATAATCCGTATGTGTAATAGAATATGAAACAGTCATTAGCTTAATGATAAAAACATTTTGACATGAAACTATATTTTTATATTTTCTTTTTAAAAAGATAATAAACCAATATGTGCATGTGCAGAGTATAGTACAATCTCCCATTGATAAGAAAAGTAATATAGAATTGGAGAATATGTGCCTTAAGGCACATTTATATATAAGCATAGAAAATAATCTGATGGGATATGTATTAAATGATAAATATGGTCCCCAATGGGTGATGCAATTGTGGTTAATTTACTTTTGCCTATATTTATTTTCAACTTTTTTCTATAATAAGCATGTACTACTTTTGTCATTACATGTACTAATAAAAGTCTAGACAATGTCTTGTTTTTTTGAAGTTATAGACTTTAGGTCTAACATCAACAATCTTATAGGCAAAAAAGGCCAACCCTTGCCAACCTTCAAAGTCTGGGTTCCAACCATCAGAAACTGTAGCAGACAGAGGTGATGGAGAGGGCCCTCCCTGTCTTCAGCTGACAAGGAGAGGCTAGTCCTGGGCTCCTTCCCTAGGTCTGAACAATTCCCTTCTATCCACAACCACAGGTTAAACCAAAGTTTCAGCCAGGTTAAATAGTACATAGAAATGAATATAAAGATATTTTAAAATAAAACAAAAAATAAGCTCTGTTCCTAGCAGAATTTCCTGCTTCACGCCACGTACATGCTACCTTTCCTTAAGTCTCTGCACTTCTCTAGTAACAGCATTTTTCACACTATGCTAGAAATACCCTGTTTGTTTGCATTATGGAATGCAAACCCTTTTCATCTTGATTTCCATTATATTCCTAGTGTCTAGCACAAGACTCCAACAATAAGTGTTGAATGAATGAATGACTAAATGAATACATAGATGAAGACCATCAAGGAAGGACCAATTCAGCTATCTTGGTTTTCCAAAACACAAACATAATAAAATCTAAGACCAGGAGACAGATATGTTTCCAAAGCTAATCAAAATAGGGCAGGCGTCACAGTGGGGTAAGTAATGGTGACCCAAAATCATGTATGTGGGGCTTTGGGAGGGCTGGCAAGGAGGGAAGGAGTGCTGCAAAAACCCAGCTGAAATGAAAAGGCAAAGATGAATTGCTGCAGTTATATTCCATCATTATAAATGACATTACCATAAGGATGGAGGAACAAAGGTTGTTTAGTTTGCAGAGAAGTAGATTCTTGAATGGGTGAAAATTAAATCTGCTGGATGATTTGAAGTGGAGATATCACACAGGATGATTTTAGCCACATAAACAAGAATGGCCTTGTGCAATGATTTCTATTCAACCCCCCTGGCTTCCTGGCCTAAGCTGATTATTATTAAGCATTTATGTGGCATTTCATATGTACAAGTACTTTACAATCATTTATTATTTATTCCTCACAACGTGAGAAAGCCACAAATCAAGGGCAGGGATAAAGTTAATACAATTTTATTAAACAAGAGGAGTGTGCCTAGCAGCAGGCTCAGCTACAACCAAGGAGTGTGACCTCGCTGGAGAGAAACAATGTGACAATTACTTTTTTTTCTTTTTGTGTTGCAATTTACACTTTTAATCAGTATAAAGTCAGGTGATTCTGCACATCTGGGAGACCTCTAGGGAGTCTGGCAGCCTGATGTGCCAACTCAAGGGAAAGCCTGCCTCTGAATCTGTCATTCCTCTGGAGTTTCTCCCTCCATTTCTCCCTTTCTTCTTTTTGTTTTTAGCTTTTACTTCCTATATTTATTTATCCTCTTTCTCTTCTTTCCTTCCTTTGTATTTTTCTCTCATTTCTGTTTTTATTTCCTTCCTCCTTTTCATCTCTCTTTTTCTGATTCTCTTTTCTTCTCTCTCTGCTTCTTTGCTTCTCTGTCTCTTTGTGTGTCTGTTACACACACACACACACACACACACACACACACTCAGAGTCACTAACAGGGGAGAAAGCAGAATCTAAAATGTTGGGAGATTCAGAAGGTCATTTCTCTGTGAGGCAGCACTCCTTCACTGCCTTCTTCTGAGACCTGACACAGGGAAAATTTTAACTCAATTTGTACAGGGAGAATAATGCCACTGTTAATCCAAGTTGCTTGGAAGGTCATTTAAAAACCATTCCAGGTTGTTTTACTCCCACTGCTAGTGTTCTTCAGGCACTTCTCATAAATGCTAATGAATAATTCACCTTGGTAGTATAGATAAACAGGCTGGTGGTGTCATTTGGAAATCATTCAAATTGACTAATTAGTCATTTCCTGTAGATCTTATTTAACAAAGGAAAAGGGATTTTGGGATATCTGGTGAATTATACATCATTACATTACTAAAAACTTAATAGTTCATATTAGTTTGAGGAAGGATCAACCTAACTTAGTGAAAAAGCCTGAATGGTTGCAAAGATTAAAAATTATATATAAACGTACTACAATCTAGGCAGAATTTTATTAGACAGTGAACAAAAATACCTTAGCTGGAAGCTTCATTGGCCCAATTTTGAGACATGGATAATAATCATTTGTCATTAACACATGTACTGAAAACAAAGAACAGTTGATGAATGATGTACGTGAAATTTCTTTAAATACTATTTATTCGTAACCACCTACCATGTGTTGGATGTATTGTTCTACATGCTGGGGATAGAGCAGGGAGCTGCAGAAAAGGTTCTTGTTTTTACAGAGCTTAGATTCTAGTGGGAATATTTTATAAAAATAGAAAAAAAATTGTAGATGGGAGATAGTTAATAGATGATAAATGATAGGGATAAAAAGATAGACACTAGGTAATAGATAAAAAGATAGCTAATAGATGCTAGTTATGGATAAATAGATAGATGGTATATAGATAGGATGAATGAATTTCACATTATGACAAGTGCTAGGCAGAAAATAGAATGAAAGTGGCTATGTTTGTGTTTTGAGATGTGTTGGGTGTTATTTTTAGACATAGGTCAGGAAAAGCCTTCAGGGAAGATGATAGAGCAAGGACCAGAATATTGAGAAGAAGCCAGCTAGGAAAACCTGAGAATTCTGAGGAAAGGGATATGGATAAGCAAGGTTGGAATTAGTAAGTGTGCTGAAATCCCAGTGAATAAAAGGATGGTAGGAGAAAGCTGCACCATCTGAACAGGCACCAAATTCTGTTGTTTCTTCCTTTGGCTCATCAAGCTCTTGATAGTTAATAAAAGGACATTTTCACTTCGGTGACTGAGTCACCATCATTCTCAATTATTGATATGAGCAAGGTGAGTTTGCTAAATTGTGACCAATGTATTTCTCCTCTGTACACATTCCCTTTTAAACCTGTCATTCTCTCTTATCCTGGTCAATAGATGTGAGTCTCCAATGTACCAATAAAGGGAAACCTGGAGAACAAAGAAGTTACCTTCTTGGCTTTTAGTGAAAGACAGAAAATAACTGAAGTAATATATAACAAAGCACAGTCTTGGATTCTTGTCCTCCAAGGCGATTGAAACATCCTCCTAGTTGGGATCTCACAATCCTAGATAGATGTCTACACTCTACTTGCCTCCATTCCAACCCAAGCCAAATCCAGTGAAGGGAAAATAGATGCCTGACCTGACCAGCTGCCTACCTGGGGCTGCAGGTGCTTTGCCAAAGCTCTTCTCCACGCTTTACTTCTTTACTAGGAAGAAAGGGGCTGCCCAATTTAATTTAGCCCCAATCTCTGCTAGTTCCAGGGGTGATCAGCCAATAATCTGAGTTACAAGACATAGATGTAGTGGGAAATATGGCCTAAAAGACATTTTGGAGCCAGATGGGGATGGATCTTTAATATAATCTCCGATGACATATTGAGGCTTTGATTTGAGAGATGTTACCAAAACAGCAGAGACTAAATTAATTGTGGGGATTGGAGTAAAGCTCCTCTGCATTCTTCTTTTTCTTTTTTCTATTATTTTCCCTCCACCTGCCTCCTCTTTCTCTTCTTACTCCTCCTTTTTTCTTCTATTGCATTCCAAATGTAGGTTTTAGTGAGCCATTTCTGGAACAGCAAGAAATGCAATGCATGGATCAACTTGTAGAATGTCTCCAAGTCTCTGGTTTGCTGGGATCAGCATGGCTTTGTCCCACTGGTGATGAGAAACTCAGTCTCTCAGCATCCCCATGCTCCTAAAGAATCTTAGGATGAGAAGCCCATCTTTTCCATAGGCATTGCAGCTTCTGCTAGATTCTCAATCACGGCTTTGCTTGTAATCACCTGTACACACTGTTTAGTTTTCATGTCATACCACATTGCTGGATATGATGTAGTCTCCCTAAATATCACCTACTGAAGATTATGTATGCAGTGGATTTTACTGAGAATTTTGAATCAGCATGAGAGGTGGGATCATAGAATGGTTGGAAGGTGGATATATCATAGTGGGCCACATTCAACTTACAAAGAAAAAATAGGTAACATTCTTCTTAAAAGCCTCAGTGATTACACACTAGGAAATTTCCATTTTTTTTTCTCAATCAAGTTTTAGCCCCTCATGATGTTGAAAATACACTTTCTTCCTAGTTTCCACTCCTTCCCCAGGCTTGCCTGTTCCTCCCTTCAAAAGCCATTTGATTTCATAGGCAGTGTGGTTTATCTCTCTTTCTCACTCCCGATTCACACAGAACATCCTCTAAGAACTAAGGCCAAAAGACAAATAAGAGTGTCTTTTCCCTAAAAAAGTTTCCATAACCAGCTCTTAACTTACTACTTTTCTCCTTGGTGTGGAAAGGTTTTTATTTGACACCATTTCTTAATTTCTTCTTTTATTTCTCAAGACAAATCAGGCTCTTAGAAGGTGCAAGCGTGTGTGTTTGTGTGTGTGTGTGTGTGTGTGTGTGTGTGTGTTTCTGTGCATATAGCAAAAACATGACTCTGCTTGGCAGGTTCAGTCTAACATAAACAAGAGAAAACTTTTTTCTCAATCTGAACAATTTTTTTCTATTTATTTATTTATTTAGAGACTGAGTCTCACTTCAGGATCTTGGCTCACTGCAACCTCCGCCTCCAAGGTTTAAGCGATTCTTCTGATGCAGGCTCACAAGTAGCTGGGATTACAGGTGCCTGCCACCACGCTGGACTAATTTTTGTATTTTTAGTAGAGATGGGGTTTCGCCATGTTGGCCAGGCTGGTCTCGAACTACTGACCTCAGGTGATCCACCCGCCTTGGCTTCCCAAAATACTAGGATTAGAGGTGTGAGCCATCA